TCTGCCCATCTGCCCACCCATCCACCCATCCATCCATCCGCCCACCCATCCATCCATCTGCCCATCCGCCCACCCATCCATCCACCCATCCATCCATCCACCCATCCGCCCATCCATCCATCCGCCTGCCCTTCCATCCATCCGCTCATCCATCCATCCACCCACCCAACCATCCATCCGCCCATCCATCATCTGTCTATCGGTCGATCGATCCGTCCGTCCGTCAGTCTTTTAAAACTTTCAGACAAGATTTTGTCAAGCCTACATCAAAGTTGTCCACGACAAGCTGTACTTTTGTAGTTTACAGCAAAAGCCATTATTTGTAGAAACAACAATTTACTTCTAATCTGCTTTGCCAACTGAAATGACTTTTATTTTGTTATAGATGGCCCCAGTCTCAAAACTAAACAACACTGCCTGATGAGAAATGAATTACTAGGCTCTTGTGGAAACAATTGTCACCCACAGAACAAAGCAGAAGAATGAACTGCATTCTCAGATGTGAATGTTCATGGCCATGTTCTTGCGTGCCTTCATTTAGATTCTGCCCTTTTGTTTTGACTGCAGATGTTTGTGACAGATGATTCTGCAGTATCAGTAAAAATCACTTAAAAACAACAAATTGTACATGAATGTGCATTTTTACCAGGCAGATTGGACAAACCCTCCCATTCTGTGTTCAGTGATATCATTGAAAGGCCTCAGAATTATATCTTATAGTGAGATTACAGTCTTTTTTTCCCCCTTCCATGTGGATGATATGAATCAGTGACCAAAATGGAAGCTTCCTAAACTGTGTGCCAAACCCATTCATTCTGCTCAGACCCTAATTAGTCTCAGATGATCTCTTACCTTTCAACTGCTGGTTTGGCGTTGACTCCAGTTGTTTGCAATTACAAAGCTTATTTGTCTTCCTCAACACATTCAGATTCTAGATTTTCAAGCAGCCATTCTTTAAAAAATTGTTAAGGATAATGTGCGTGTCATTTCATCAAAAGTCGCGGTTGTGGTTCTGGCATATCGTGACCAAAATGCACTTTTTTGGGGATTGCATTTTCATTTTCATCTTCGGCCAAAGTAAAAACACCATTGTGATACTTGTGATTTATTGATCTGATTATGATGAAACTGTCCCAATACAAAAATTCTGTGAATTAATTTATTACTATCCAGATAATTAGCTTTTTTTGGTGTGTCCCTCTCTTTGCCCATAAGGCTGTGAAACAGTGCCTCTGCTAGGTATTGTTAAACACCCCAGAGCGGAAATAGGATATGGAGAAAGTTCCACAGCTTAAGTGCTTAAAGCACAGCTCTTCCCCTTATCTACAGAGAATGAAAGCCACAGGAATGAAAACAGTACTAGACAAACACGTGAACCGACTAGGCATGGCTAGAGCATATAAGCACAGCAGGAAAAGGAGGCGACAGATTTACTCATGCGAAACGAAGATCAGATTGACGAACCTTTGGCAGTTGAAAAGTGTTTGAAATCGACAATAGGGGATCATTGAAAACCATGAAACCATCATTGCCATCCATTTGGAAATCACATAGGAGTCTGAATGGATGAGAATAACTGAAAATGTGTAGAAAATATGAACAGTGACTGGTAGGTAAAAGAAATGTTTCTTGAGCAGCAAATCAGCATATTAGAATGATTTCCGAAGATCACGTGACACTGAAAACTGGAGAAATTATGCTTAAAATTCAACTTTGCATCACAGAAATAAATTAGATTTCAAAAATATATTCAAATAGAAAACAGTTATTTTAAATTGTAATAATATTTCACAATATTATTGTTTTTATTGTATTTTTTATCAAATAAATGCAGCCTTGGTGAGCATGAGATACTTTTTTTAAAAACATAAAAAATCTTACCGAGGATGGTCATCGCTGAGCTCTTTTTGGCTCTGTCAAAAATATATATATATATATATATACAGTGTGTATGTATACATACACTTGACAATATCATTTATAATGACATTTATTATAATTAAATATAAAATTTTTGCTGTTAGCATCCAATATTGATCCTAACGGAAAACACGTAAGCATTGTATTGTTTTACTGTAACCCCCTTTCAGATAATAACAATTTGTTTGTTTGTTTGTTTACTGTAATGTAATTGGTACTTCTTGTATTTTGTAACTTCTAAATTCTAAAGAGAGATCAAAGATGTCATTGTTACCATGAAAAAAGTTCATTTGATTCAATAGCTTTATGTGTGACCAGTTTGAAATGTAAGTAATTTATGTGAAATCTCATTCTTCATATTGGATTTTTGAACTGACATATCATGTTGTCCTTATAATGGCAGTCGGTGGTAACCGGAACTTTTTGGTTACCAACATTCTTCAAAGTATCTTTTGTGTTCTGCAGACGAAAAACATACAGGTTTGTGTTTTTGTTTTGAATTGTGGTGTTTTTTGAAATGTAAGTAATTTATGTGAAATCTCATTCTTCATATTGGATTTTTGAACTGACATATCATGTTGTCCTTATAATGGCAGTCGGTGGTAACCGGAACTTTTTGGTTACCAACATTCTTCAAAGTATCTTTTGTGTTCTGCAGACGAAAAACATACAGGTTTGTGTTTTTGTTTTGAATTGTGGTGTTTTGTTTTGGGTTGTGTTGTGTTGTGTTGTTTTGGATTGTGTTGTGTTTTGGATTGTGTTGTGTTTTGTTTTGGGTTGTTTTGTTTTGGGTTGTGTTTTGGGTTTTGTGTTGTGTTTTGTTTTGGGTTGTGTTGTTTTGTTTTTTGGATTGTGTTGTGTTGTTTTTGGATTGTGTTGTGTTGTTGTGTTTTGTATTGTGTTGTTTTGGGTTGTGTTTTGTTTTGCATTGTGTTTTGGATTCTGTTGTGTTTTGTGTTTTGTTTTGGATTGTGTGGTGTTTTGGATTGTGTTGTGTTGTTTTGTTTTGGGTTGTGTTGTTTTGTTTTGGGTTGTGTTGTTTTGT